TATATATATTTTTCATTCTAGTTATTTCTTTATTTGTCTTTTATTTATATACAGTACTTACGATTCACACACACTATACAGCAATCCACTATATATATACACACATACGTACATCACACACACACACATACATACACATATGCTCAAAATACACTACAATACAACACTACAACACACTACACACACTTTACACGAATAAACAACACCCTCATCACGTTACACTCAACCATATTACGTATTACACACTATCACAACTGCTACTATACACACACTACGTACACACACATACACTTATTCATGATACACTTAATAACACTAACATAACACATTAACACATCACAACACTTAATCACATATATACACACACGTTACACCCCCTCAACCTCCCTACTATTATACCACTCACCCTTACCCCTCACCCAAAAAAAAAAAAAAAAAAACATATTTAAGTATTAAAATCAATCACTAACTGATTCATGAATGACCTTGAGAAAGTGACAATACCGATCTATTGCAGAAAAAATAAAAAAAAAAAAATTTAATAGATCACAGGTACCTTACCATTATGTACTCTTTCTCCGAAATACCTCCGTGAATTATATTGCACGGAAGCGGTGATACATGAGTGAGTGGAGCTTAGCTCACACTACCTCACAACACACTCAAGCGTTATACATCACGTGACACACATACGTATACGCTAACAACACACACGTACACCCACCTCCACCACACATCACAACACCCCCATAATATATAAAATAATCACAAACACACACTACGTACACCCTACCTCAATTACCTCCCTCCCTAATAAAAAAAAAAAAATAAAACATAGATTAAAACATCACTTCGTTCATAATATTAATTCTCACATACATATATGAGTAAGCTCAAATATACCGGTATCTTATTGCAGAATTAATTTTTTTATTTTTTTAGATCACAGGTATAATCTTATCCCATGTATAATTAACTATTATTCGTAAAACCCCGTGGAATTATATTCACGGAGTGACGGTGTGACAGAGAGCGCCGTGGAAGAGAGAGAAATTGATTGCATAAATGTTGATATTTATGAAGCTACATCATTTGTTCGTTGTATTATAAATATCTGACAGAAATGAAAAGCGAGTCAAATGAAGAAAGAGAGAATTGAAAGATATATTAATTTTTATTTTTGATATTATATATTTGTTTATATATATATTAATTAATTTATTTATTTGTTTATTATTAGTTTATTTGTCATAGTTAATACTATAATTATTTAAGTTTATATTATTTATATTAGCTATTGTATTCGTGGTATATTATTTATTATAATTTATCATTAGTTTTTATACTATCACTTAATTATTAATTTTAATTTAACTGTATTAGATTTTATAATCTCATAATTATATATATTTAAATTTATTATATTAATTATATTAGTTTATTATAGTATCTTATAATTATTATATTTTTATATATAATTTATCATTATTTAGTATTTTAATTCATAATTTAATATATTTCATATTTATCATTAATTAGTTTTATAATGTGTTATATATTCAAGGTATATGGTGACTATATAAATGAAAAAAGTTTGTTACTCTTTTTTTTATATAGTTTTTCAGTAATTTTCGCTTGTTAAAAAAATAAGTACAACAAAACCAGGGAAGAAGAAAGATAACGAAAAAGAAAAGGAAAAGAGAAGAAAAAGTAAAAAAAGAAAGAGGAAAGAAAAAAATAAGAAACACACACACACAAAAAAAGAAAAAACGAAAAGAAAAAGTAAAAAAAAAGTAAAAAAGTAAAAAAAAGAAAAAAAACGAACCTCCCCCCGCCCCATCCCCCCCCCCCAAAAAAAAAACAAAAAAAAAAAAAAAAAAAACGAAAAAATACGTACCATGAAAAATGAAATATCGCTTTTCCGTCGTTTTTCTGCATTAACAAACGCTTTCGCAATAACAGCCAATAATTCACTTATTCCACTTTGCAGCCGACCAGGTGCGCAGCAACGACCGATTACTCATTCACGGCGAAAGGGGAGGAAGAGAGGAGAGGAATGAATAGATAGATGGACGGGCAGTATGTATACGCCCACACAGATATGCGTATATGTGTGTGTGTGTGTGTGTGTGTGTTTGTATGTGTGTGTGTGTGTGTGTGTGTGTGTGTGTGTGTGTGTGTGTGTGTGTGTGCGTGTGTGTGTGTGTTTGTTTGTTTGTTTGTTTGTTTTGTGTGTTGTGTGTGTGTGTGTGTGTGTGTGTGTGTGTTTATGTGTGCGTGTGTGTGTATGAATCATAGATAGATGGACGGGCAGTATGTATACGCCCACACAGATATGCGTACATGTGTGTGTGTGTGTGTGTGTGTGTGTTTGTGTGTTGTGTGTGTGTGTGTGTGTGTGTGTGTGTGTGTGTGTGTGTGTGTGTGTGTGTGTGTGTGTTTTTTGTATGTTTGTTGTGTGTGTGTGTGTGTGTATGTTGTGTGGTAAAAGTAATGATAGTAACGATTATAACAAAACTGTTTGATTCATGTCTGTCACAATTTCACTAAATTATGATACATCCTTGTTCTCACCCCCTGCAAATACTTCATTTCTTTGCTATTATCAAAATATTCTGATGTGGTTTTGAAAAATGCATTCTTCATTAAACATTTAATATCACTGGTAATTTCAAATCCTTCATTTATTAAAATTTCCGAGCTGAATGCATGAATGAAATGAATCTCTGTTTTGTCATGTGAATTGTCAACGTATTTCATTCACAGATTTTACTGTGAATACTTCTTTTATTCAAGGAAATGTATCGACTCAAAAGACCTTATTGTATCTCTAACATACCTGTTAAAAAAGGTGTGTTCGAATTAATATCTTCACGTTCCGAGAAATGCTTTTTACTCTTCTTGGTACCACCTTCTTCAGAAAGAAAGAATTTCTGATTAAGATATAAGAATAAGTTATTTATCTTCACTCATACTTTTTTTTTCTACGTTTGTCACTATGAACTATATTTATGTGACAATATTTCTCATTTCATGCAACAATACTTGGAAATTTATATGTTTCTTATTTATGTACTTAGAAAATGTGGCTTAAAGTAAAGGCTATTAGTACGTAGTAAAGTGTATACTGTACAGTGAATTTGTCTTAATGAAAAAACGTTTAATGTTTATCACGCTGGAGAGTAAACTGTCATGAAACGTTTTCCTTCTCATTTTAAAGGGATATTTATGCGAAAGATTATGTTTATGTTTATAAGTTCCTATTTTTTTTCTTTTCTTTCTTTTTCTTTAAAAGTTTTATGGTCACCATAAGAGGCGAGGCTATACAGTTGTATGTATATGTATGTATGTATGTTAATATGCCATCTCGTTTTTCTTTCTTTCTTAAATTTACAGTTTTATGGACACCATAAGATAAGGCTATAAAGTGGAGTAAGGGGGTGAAAAATGAATATGCTGATTTTAATTCTTTTCCTTTAACATCTCTTGTTACTGCTATTACCACTACTTCTATTACTACGATTTCCTACCAATACTACTACAACTACTTTTACTACTAAGACTACTACTTCTGTCAATACCATAACTACTCAAACGTCCACTACTTATTCGAACAACACCCCTCAAAAAAAAAAAAAAAAAAAAAAAAAGACTCTTCTCCCTCTTATACACCCATTAAACTCTTAAAAATCCCATTACCAGGTCTTTGTGCCTCTTATTCCACCTTACACGCCCGCACCGCCAAATGACTATGTGATGGAGAGACGATAAAAAATGTATCCCGTTGGTAATAAGCGGCGTGGTGGCATTTGCTCGTGGTTGGAGTGCAAGAGATGCTTCGTGAAATATTTGTGGTCTCCGGGAATAAGCCATTTGATAAAAGCATTAAATTTGCAGTAGTCTAGGCTGCTGGAAAGGACAGGCAGACAGACGCACGTAAATATACACACGCAAGCATACGAGGATTTGTATACACACATACACACGAACAGGCACAAACACGAATATATATACACAGATACATCCACACACACAGACAAATAAACACGCAAAAAGAAGAATAGATAAAACAGACACAAACACGAACACCCATACACACACACACGCAAAAACAAAAACCAACCCACAACACCACATACACGCACACACAGACACAAACACGAACAGCCACATACACACACACACACACACACACACCACACACACACACACACACACACACACACAGCACACACACACACACACACACACACAACCCACACACAAGCAAAAACACACACATACACACCCACACACACAACATCCCCCCCCCCCACACACACACACATACACACACAACCCACACCCTCCCTCTACCTCTCCCCACTCCCCTCTATCCTTCCCCTCTCCCCTCCTCCCCTCTTTCTCCCCTTTCCCCCCCTGATTTGGGCAAGTGTTTTGCATGCGAACGAAACCCAACTCCAGTCTTTTTGTTGCAGTGCAATCTGATTTAGACTTGCTCGGAAACCCACACACTGGAGCGTCTGGTTTCAGTTGGGCGAAACTGATTCAGTCCTTGGGTATGGCGGTGGGGCTGAGATACCGTGGTGGTGTGAGGGCGTGGTGGTGTGGTATTGTGTGAGGTTGTGGTATGTGATGTAAGAGTATGAGGGTGCTATGAGGGCGTGGTGGTTGGTGTGGGTAGGGTGGGTATGTGTGGTGGTGTGTGGTGTGGTAGGTGTGTGATGGTGTGGTATTGTGGGTGGTGTGGGTAGGGTGTTGGTGGTGGTGGTGTGGTATTGTGGTGGTGTAAGAGTATGAGGGGTGTGCTATGAGGCGTTGTGTTGGTATGTGAGTGAGGGTGTGGTATTGTGGTGGTGTGAGGGCGTGGTGGTGTGGTATAGTGGTGGGAGTATTGTGCGTGTGGTATGGTGTGGTATGTGGGGTGTGAGCGTGTGTGTGTATTGTGGTGGTGAGGGTGTGGTGGTGTGGTATTGTGGTGTGGTGGGTATTGTGTGTGG